CCCCAAAACCCCAAAACCCCAAAACCCCAAAACCCCTTAGACTCTTTCTGGAATTGAGTTACTTTTACCCACCCAAAGATGTCTCTGATACTTATTCACTGGAACTTATGTTTAAGGCATTTAGAGCAGTGGCAGCTTCTTTCTACCCTTGGTGTTTATAGAGACTTCCCCATGTTTCGTACTGGAGTTTAGGCTTAGTAATTACCTGGATATATTATGAATATCTTCATACTCCACTTGTATGGGAACCAATGTCCTTGGAGAACCTTTGTTGATTTCTGTGATCAAGGGCTATAAAGACTCAAACCAATCTTTTTGAAGCTGGATTACCTGAGTGTTTATGAAATTATCTAAGTTCAAGTTCAAAAATCTCTCGTTTTTATTTCCTTTCTGACCAACTCGGCTTCTTTCAAGTTCGATTAGATTGGAGTTTATACTATGGATATAGCTGACTTTAATACCTGACACTTCTTCTATGGGATACCATGGCTGACCTGATTTGACTCTTCTCATGTATACTAAAGATATCATTTATTTGTACCTTCTGTGCTGATTTTTGTCCTTCTGGTTCGACAATTCTGAGTCATTCTCTTCTGTACTAAATTTATTATATTTCTTAATTACTGGTCTTGGTTCATTGGTTTGAAGGAATTCAGATTCGGTATTTTTATGATTTCCTTCGATGTCTTCATCATTGTTCGTGAAGACTCTTGCATCTGGTTCCCGAAGTTGTTCTCTATTGGTAATATTGAGGGATTACTTAGCATCCGGTTCAGTTTCTTTACATTAGAAGATAACTTCACAGCTCTTTCAGTTTTATCAGCTCTTTCTATGGAGTTCCTGGTGCTTGCCGGTTTGATTTTCTTTGTTCCTCTTACAGACTTTGACAAAGAGGATCTATCCTTCAAAGTAGTTATCTGCTTTCCTTCTTGCGATGGCCAATGTCCCTTTTTAGTGGTAAATCTTTTAATATTCTCTTTCACAGAGTTTGTTACTTGTTTCCTGGTGTCTGGAAGAGCTTTAGAGTCTCTCATTTTCTTCAGAAGTTGATCTTTGATATTGCCAATTTCTTCCTATCCATAGTTATATCGTATACCTGTAATGTTTGTGTCTCTTGTATATTTCTTTTAAAGCAATTCAAAGAATCATCTAGAAGTTTTTATCAAAACAGTACTGCATTTATTAACCCTTTTGGCATTTTTACTGATCTCTGCTTCTGAAGTATTTACCCTAGCTTCAAGTTCCATTCACCATTTTCTGACTAGAAGGTGAGACATAAAGTTACGAGTTTTCAGATCAATATTTGTCAACTCATTGCTGTTCTTTGGAGCTTCCTTATCTAGGTATTACCATACCTGCCATACCTGTGTCTTTTTGAGGAATATCAGAAAGTTGTTTGCTTAATTGCTCAGTTTTGGACTGAAGATCTCTTATTGCTTGCTCTAGTGGCTCAAATCTCTGAATTAATTCTTCTTCTATTAACTCATTAGTATCTTTTAAGCTATCAGTTGCTTCTGAGCGTGGTTGGTTTTCTTTTTCTTCCTCTGGATATGAATCCTGAGAAGCCTGCTTCTTGGAAACTCTTCTTTTTAACAGGACTGTCAATTGCCTCAGCCTCAGGGAGTTCCTGGATGCCTACATTGACATTTTCTATGTTCGAAATTTCTTTCTTTGGGCTTTTTGACATTCGAGTGTTCTTTTTGCGGAGCAAAGAGCTTCTCCTTTGAACTTGTGAGAAATCAGCTATTTTTACCTGTAACTTCTGATATGTCTGCTTTATTTCATTCAGTTCTGACTTTGTATCAGGATACTATATTTATGACTAAGAATAGATACGTCATAGTCTAGGAGGTCAGTCAACTTCTTCTGCATTATATTAAGCTTCTCCTTGTTCATGGAGGTAAAATTGGATGTATTCTTAGTAATCTCCTTAAGTTTTAGATCTATTTTGGAGTCATGCAATTTGATATGGTTCTTCATGCCTTCAATTTTGTTGGCGAGGAGGAGGTTTTGATCCTTATGATCTTTCATATTGACTTTATGCCTAAAAATAGTATTTTGAGTTACTTTAATTCTTCAGCTTGTCCTTGAGCTGTAATATGAGCTGTTTGGAGATCTTGTCTAATTTGAGCAATGTCTTTATCAACAACCTCGTTTAGATTGTCATCAACTTGTAGAAATCTTTGTTGATTTTTATCAAATCTTTCTTCGATAGATTGGTAGTATTCTTTTACAGTGGAATATTGCTCATCTTCACCGATAAGCCCAGGAGTTTCGAATTCTTCTTTCAAAATTCCCCGTACTTCTTTATTTGATATTTTCTAATTCAAAATCGATGAAATCTTGCAGCTTGAATCTGGACTCATCGATTTTAGAAAGAGTCCAAGATCTTTGGATATCAGTTTCATCTCACTTGTCTAATTTGAGTGACATTCTGTGAATTTTCGATTTGACATTATTTACTATAATTATGATTAAAATTTCAAAATTACTCATGACTCCTTCTTTATCAATCTTTTGGACCAAATCATGATTTCTGTTCTCATGTGCCTATCAAGAAGGTAAGCAGAGACTTACTTTTCTAACATCATTGAAGGCCTGAGTGAAGTTACGCTCGATGCGTTCAACCTTATCTTGGGAAAAATTCTCGATCTTTTCAATCTCCTGACCAAGTCTTGTAATATGGAACTTTTGCTTTTCAATAAGTTTGGAATACTTCTCATCTTGATCTTTAATAGTGCTGTCTAGTTTTCTAAGATGTCGAACCAAAGCTAAAGGTTAGATTCTGTAGTACCTTTAATCCCATCAACAAGTGGGTAAGGGATATTATTCCATACTTCTGGGTTAATCTGGGATAAAGCATCTTGGGCCTATACTTATGAGAAGGAAACAACCTCTTCTTCCTTCATGAAATCACTTCCCTCTTCTAACTCAAGGTCTGAGGATTCTGTATCTGTAGCTCCTATCTTCTTCGACCGAGCTAAAGGGTAATTCCAAATACTTACATATTTTCTTAAGTTCTTCCTGGTTAGGTTTAGAACTTTTATTATTTCCTAGCCTGTTCTTCAGGCCCCAGAAGTTCAGAATAGAAGTCTAAATATCGATTATTTACAAACTCTCCAACTATTATAAATCTCAGCCCAAAAATATTTGAATTTGAAATCAATATGTGTAAATTCGAATTTTTCAGAACAATGAGATTGATTTACTATACCTAAAATACCAAAAATCTACTCACTTTCTTCAAACTGTTGCTTCGCTGAAGTCCCTCTTCTCGCCTTCAACTTCTCATTATCCACCAGTGTGCTATCATCTGCCCTAAGATCAACTTGTGAATGCCTGAAATCAGGATGCTTTGGTTCCATTTTATTTCAATTTTAACAAAATTTTTGGGGTTTTGGGGTTTTGGGGTTTTGGGGTTTTGGGG